GGGACAGATGCCTCCTGCAGCACCTTGCTGGCCAAAACAGGGTGAGGGGGGATGTCCATGCACGGCCCCCTGCACCTCGTTTTCACCCTCCATTGCCTTCTGCAGCACTCTGCTGGCTGTTTTCAGGCCATTTTCAAGTCCTTTTTTGGGCCATTTTTCAGCTCATTTTCAGGCTGTTTTCTGCCACCAGAGTGCTGCAGCAGGCCACGGAGGTGAAAACGAGGCGCATTAGCCACCAGAGGTACTGCGGGCTAGTCCTTTCATATTTCCAGGCCAGCCCCGTGGCTGGATTTAATCACCCTGTGGGCTGGATTCAGCCCGCAAGCCTTGAGTTTGACAGCCCTGCCCTAATCAGAGCAGCAAGTGCATATGTGTTGCCTCTGAGTAGCTTCTCAAATACACATATAGAGGACACACATCTGTATCTACTTTGATTAGGCCGCACAGACAAACAGCAACACATGCACGTATTCTAATTAGTACGCAAGTATACTGCTCTTCCTGTGTATCATTGGTGTGTATTTGCATGTGCGCACCAGGAAGCAGAGAATAGATTACATACATACACTCTAAAGCAGGGATGGGGAACTATGGCCCCTTTATGACTTGTGGACTTGAACTCCCAGAATTCCTGAGCCAGATGGAGCTTCAGTTCTGGGAGTTGGAGTTCGCTAGTAATAAAGGGGCCATATTTCTCCACTTCTGCTCTAAGAGAAACTTAGAATGGAGGAGTTGTCAACATTCTGAACCCTTGACTCTCCCATGTACTTATATACTGGGGAAATCTTTTAAAATCTTCAAGTATATCTAGCCCATTTCAAACCCAGACTTTCTTTAGTGCTACGAACAGACAAAGATGGAAGCCCTTTAATATAATTTCTTTCTAATGATACATTAAGGTTTGTGTGTGTACTTGTTTTCTTAGTAGAAAATTGAGAACAGTTTGAAATAAAATAAACACCCTGTTATAGCTGAACAGCTAGTTTTGGTTGCTTGGTTTGTTTGTTTGCTTGCTTGTTTGTTTGTTTGAGGAACCATTAATTTTGCCCACCTCACATGTTCTGACAAAGTTGGCAAGCTCCAGCGCCCAGCAATTGTATGCCATCTTATAGGATGCCATGCCATCTTATAGGATCCTTTTCTGCTATGGCACCTGCCTTCTGAAACACCATTTTATGACTTCCACTGTGGCCCTATTTAAATGAGCCCTTAAAACCTGGCTGGGTCCCCAGGCTCTGGGATAGTGGGGGCAAGTATGTTTTGAATGGTTGTCAGCTTCTTTTTTTAGTTTCTTTTTGTAGCAGTGCAGTACCTTGCTTTTCAACTATTATTCTTTTTCTTGTATTTGGTGAGCCACCCAGAATTGTGACAAATTAGGGCAGCCCCTGAATTCCATCAATACATAGTGCTACACATCCTTCACAAGATCTAAACAAAGCCTACACTGATTTAATCAGGAATATATTCACATAAACTGAATTTTGAGCATTGCTTTATTCTGTTTACGTTTGAATGTGAACGTCATCTACTTTTCACTACAGAAAGAAGCAGCAGCTATTCACAAGAATATTTGTTTATATTGAGCAATACATATTTTAATATAAAAGTGTTAACAAAATGCAGAAGGCAACAGAAGTTTGCCTGCAAATAGCAGCTTAGAAGTACTGTAAATAAAGATATTAAGAGCATTAATAGAAACATAAAATTAAGTTAAGCGTTGTATACTGTTCAGAGGTACTTTCATGTGAGATGGGTGGATATTCAAATATGATAAAATAAATAAAAATGTTTCTGAATTTATATAGTCTTTAAAATTGCAAGCTAGTGTGGCAATGGGATGAATTGAAGACTGCAAAATGAAATAAACAAGTTTGACCATTTCATTCATCTCATTTAATCTGTTTATGATTAAAAACTCTTAGCTTTTGCATGGATGAAATGAAATAAGAAAATTAAAGTTACATGCAGTCCTCTGTTGTTGTTTTTTACAATTGTATGTTAAAGCCTTTTTTTATTTTGAATCAAACCATTGGTTCATTTATCAATAGCCTGTTTCCTGACCAATATACCATATGTTACATCTACTCCTACTTGCCAAAGGCTGAAATCTACCACAACCGGCTCTCACATTGTGGACAGAAGATTTGAACTACCATTTCAGAGGAATATTGTTATTAAAAACTGCTTGCCTTGTTGACTTCTTCTAGATCAGAGAATTATCTCAGGAAAAGTTTGATTGTTGAAGATTTGAAGTGTGTTCATGCCCCTTAATTAATAATCTATGTTACGGTTCTGACAGAAGCAGTACCGTGGTGGGATTCAAATTTTCTTACTACCGGTTCTGTGGGCGTGGCTTGGTGGGCGTGGCAGGGGAAGGAAGGATACTGTAAAATCTCCAGTCAAAGGTGGTATTTGCTGGTTCTCCAAACTACTCAAAATTTCCGCTACCAGTTCTCCAGAACTGGTCAGAACCTGCTGAATACCACCTCTAGTAGAATAGGAACTTTCAGCAATTTTCTGAAGAATACTCTAAACTATCCTAATTGTCAAAACTTTGGAGCTATAATACCTGCTAGTTTGTGTGTACGTGTGGGGGAGGAATGTCTCTTTATTCATCAAGTATCCTGCTATAATTTATTTATTTTTTCCTTCTACCCTAGGTGGGCCCAGCAGGATCCCAGTTTGGCTTGTTAGCCTGCCTTTTTGTGGAGCTGTTCCAGAGTTGGCAGGTCCTAGAGAGTCCCTGGAAGGCTTTTTTAAATCTTTCTGGGATTGTCCTTTTTCTCTTTGCCTGTGGCCTTCTGCCATGGATCGACAATATTGCACACATATTTGGTTTCCTCAGTGGCCTATTACTTTCTTTTGCCTTCCTGCCCTATATCACCTTTGGTACTGCAGACAAATATTGCAAACGGGTGATGATCATTGTCTCACTACTGATCTTTGTTGGTTTATTTACATCGCTTGTGATCTGGCTATATGTATATCCTATTAATTGGCATTGGACTGAGTATCTAACCTGCTTGCCTTTCACAACCAAATTTTGTGAGAAGTATGACTTGGACCAGACCTTGCACTAATGAAGCATTTAAATGGACTAAGTAGAAAGGATTTTGAGGAACAAGGACAGAGGCAGCTGTGGCTGTATAAAGCAGAGCATTTTCATTTCCAGTTCTCTATTTGGAATTTTTAAGTATCATTCATAAAACAGCATGCACCAAGTAAGCTGGGCAAGTGGGTAGACCCTGCCATCTTTTGTGAGGTAAAATATAACTAAGTGTAATTCTATGGCAACCTTAAACATCAATTAACCATTACCTGGAGAGTTACAAGTATAAATCAGGGGTTATCAGAACATTTCCCACTTATGTGCCTTGCATCAGAAGGCAGTCTCTGTAAAGCTTTGTTCCTGGGATCCCTCCCAGACATGAGTTCAGCCTTCGAGGTCAAGTTTCTTTTGAGGAACTGGCAAGGAATTCAAAGACATCCTTCATCATCTGTGAGGCTGATTGGGCATTTGTGAGATGGAGGTCAGCCACACAATGACTTTCAAAGACTGTATTAGCTATGGACATCCTGCTGAACTACTTCCATTGACTATCTGCCAGTCTCTTGTGTTTTTCTACTTGAAATCCCTTCTTTTTATGCAAATCCTGGTTTGGGGTTCCTTTCCTAGTGCCTTTTGGCACAATATGGTGCTTGGACCTTGTGGCAGTCCTCCCTGCCTTAGTGCCTTTTTATGGTACTAGGAATTGTACTGTGAAAATAAACCCCATCTTTTTGTACAAGGGGCATTTTTATATGCAAATTCTTGTTTTACGTTTGCAGTCTCTGTACGTCACTAGGGTGAAATACTTTTTGACCAAGAACATTGCTTTTAAAGGCACCTTGTCCTCAGTAAGAAATGCGGGTAGTTATTCCAATATTTACATTGGGTTGATAACGCAGCAACCTGGAATTTCTTTAACACTTGAAGTATAACTCCTTTCTAAAAGGAAAGGAAGGTAATTAGATTCTCTAGTGACAAAATGAGAAGTGTAAAAAAGATTTTTGGTATAAATAAATGAGTTTAAATTCTGTGAGGAGTATATGTATGTTATTGTGTGTATGTATTTCCCTCAATTAGAAGTATTGAAGCTGGAGGTACATCATCCTGCAGAACATGCTATAACTACATAGCACGGTTAATTTAGAATTCTGACTCATTGTTTTGCCCTGAGCAACAAAGCATTCCAAAATCTTACTGTGTTCTAAGTAGTAATTTATTAGAGCCTTTGACTGAGAATATTTTTCTATAATTATTGTTGCTAATTTGTAAATATTAGGCTGTTCCTTTGATGAAACTGAATGTGTCCCAGTTGACACTGTTTATCTATTTTCATTAAAGATAGTTTTGGAAATCATTTCTTTGCATCCAAAGTATATTAATTTTAATGTTTAAGCCCTGTATCCCACCTCCTCCCAAAATTGGTTAAAGCTTGCTATTTCCCTTCCATTACACTGTTGTTGCTTGCAAATCTTTGATGGACAAGTATCTTGTCAAAAGTTCCATGACGATACAATACCTGTATCACAAAGCCCTGTGGCTGCCTTTCAGGTATCTACTGTCTTGACTAGTAATTTTTTGAAGTGTTCCTACTCCCTGCTCTTGGAATCTTGTTCATTATCTGTATGCTGTCCCAAGTAATGGAAGTTAATTCTTCCTTTGCCATCACCTCCAATCACAAGCTCCACCTGGCTATATTGTATAAAACTACTTCCTGGTAAGTGTCACAGTCTGATTGATTACATCATGGTGTAGGAAGTGGGGGGGGGGGAAACCAAGAACATGTTCTGGAAAAAAAAAACATTTATTGCTGACCTGACAAGAGGTAAATGGCACACACAGTAACATTTGGAGAATGTTTGCTTCCTTATTCAGTGGCAAGAACTTTTAACATTTTCCTAGGCACAAGACTGACCAAGTAATGAATTTAAATGTGCAAATACTTTGTAATTAGTTCTAAACATTTTCCTTGGAGCTAATCTCATAGAATTTGGCAGTGTTTACTTTTAGTAGATAGGCTTATACTACAAAGAGCCTTTTCCCAGTCCCATACTAATAAAAATCCAACAGGCACCTGCTCTGTTCATAAGGAAGGCAGAATGCCTAACTTCCTCCCTTGCTCTGTTTTTATTTCTACTGCAGTTATGGTAAGTAGACCAGATTGCATCAGAAAATGCCCATGTCTATATCAGATTAGTTAAAAATTTAAAGTTCAAACAATGGGTGGTAAAAGGCATTCTGACCCTATATTCAAAATATGGCCATTTCAACTGTGGGAAAAACCCCACCCCCTTGGATCTCAAAATGTTTTGCAAAGCCCTGATTAGCTTATGCTACATTGGAAAAGAATATTTTTCCCAACTAGTTTTCTATCATTGTACTATGACTTATATAGGTAGTTCTCAATTTAGGAGCACAATTGGGACTGGAATTTTCATTGTAAGTTGAGTCAGAATCAGACAATTTTTACAGCAGTTGTTAAACGAATCCCTAAGGTGGTGTTACTGTTGTTAAATGCAGGTACAGGTTGTAAGTCACTTCTTCCAAAGCTACCGTAACTTTGAACCATTTTTATATGAACAGCCTGAAGTGGAGAACTACCTGTATCATGCACATTAGTAGCCTTTCTGCGGAATTGATGGCTTAACAGATTGGCCCTTGCTTAATTCCACTGCCTAATCTCTAGACTTCAGGCTTGTTATCAACCTCATTTTTATAGATAAAAAGTTATTACTAGTTTTCTAAAATCAACAGGATGGCAGGCAAATAGATGATGATCTGGCTTTAAATGAAAAATTTATACACACAAAGATGTCCCTTTACTCACAACTGATGGGACTGAACAATGACACACATATATACAAGGACAAAAACACACTGTACATCTATTTTCTCTTCCATCCTGTGTCAAGGGTATCTTCACAAGTAGAATTCACTGCACATCATATGCATTAAGGGGCAATTAAACGATGTTTTTACAGGAATTCTGCTCGGAAGGAAGTCTGTCATGGCCTTATCGCTAAGGGAGCGTATATTTATAAAACATACGAAGTTATATACCATTACATAAAACCAACCAGTATAACAAGGTATTGAATTGCACTCCAGTGAACAAAAAGCAATAACTTACAGTAAGTTTTGTATAAATACATTTAGTTGCTTAAAGATTATGAATCTGAAAGTAACCGATTTTATGAGTTCACACTGCAGTTGAACTCCTCCTGTAAATAGAACTGTTATTATTAATGAAACATGAATGGCAAAATGCATAATTTATAATGACTCTCTGCAATACTCCTAATTTACAACAAAATCTTAGTAGTTAGAACTGCAAGCAGCTATCATGTTTTGCTGCCTTCATGGTTTAAATTTGAGAAAACAAATTATTGCATTATTCCTTATTTTATTTTACAGTCATTATGTTCATACATAATGCTCACCTAACACTTTTTTTCCACGTGGTTGCTCAATGCAAAGTGGTCTAGTCACATCAAACTAAACAACAATATGCTAAACACCATTACAGCTTTACTCACATGTGAGAACTTGACCAGTGCAAGACACAAGAGAGAAGTCTGAGGCTTAGCTATAATTATTAAAGGCAGCCATGCCTATAATCTTTACATTCTTCGTATCTTACAATTGAATGACTGTAGCAGCTTACAGTGCATCATCACTTGTAGCTCTCTGAAGCATCATATAGTAACGATGGCAAAACTTTCAAAGGGTGGGATCTATCACTACTTCCTTTTCAGACTGAGCAGGTTTACTCGCTAGATACTGCTGAATCAGAAGGCTCTTATGGACACCCAAGGTCTTGCCTTTTAGCACCTCCTGGATTCATTAGACTTCAACTCCACCTGAAGGACTGAGAATCACAGCAGATATTATTTTGTTTTTTAACCAGATAGTAGGAAAGTAACAAGAAGGGGAAATATCTCAGCAGCCACTATTTCTACGCATAAATGCATGAGCCCGAATAGCGCAGTTCATCTCAATGAAATTTAATGAACCAACAGTGATCTCACACGGGCCCAGCACTTTAAAGCCACACTTAGTATAAAAGGGAATGAGAAAGTCTTCACACATCAGTGTGGCTCGACGCACATAAGGGAAAGAGCATAGGTAGTGTAGGTAGCGCCACATCAAGATGGATCCTTTGCCTTGTTGGCGGAAAGTGCAATGTACTGCCAGAACATGTATGTGGACTATGGTTCCATGGGGTTTATGTAGGGTCAGCGCATCCTGCCATGAGAGAAGAGAGAAGAAACTGCTTTTTAGTTATTTGTTTTTGAATCTCCTGTTGACAACTATATTCATCTTAAAATGTTTGCATTACCAGATCCTTGGATCATTGGTCTCTCAGTAAGAATCATACCATTTATTTATTCACACAATGTATTATGTTTTAACTTTTGAAGAGATGAGCTATGACTTCAACAAATCCAGTAATTTTAGAATAGGATGTTTGCATTCTCAATCAATCTTGCCCAGTTTCCATAAACTTACTGAACAAATTAAAGCTACATTGTAGATGAGCAAGACATCTTGTGATGTCTTAGATACATCCATGTGATTTCCTTGACAAGAATAGGACTGTAGTTGGCTACTTCCAATGTTTTCTTCAACTTCTCTGGGAGTCCCTGATTTCACCCAAGTATGCCTGAACCTGCTTACATTTTTGTGCTCGGAAAAAGTCCGGAAACTGGCCCTTATGAAACAAAGCCTACTTCATTTCAACAAACCTATTCTCCCATAGCCCCTTTTGAATAATTTAAAATTATGCCCTGTAAAGCTCTTTTGACTATTAATTTCTAAGTAAATGTAGTGTAATCCAATGTGATTATTGTGCTGCAATTTTATGAAAACACAGCCACCTTTCAGGGTCATAGCATATGTGCATTAACATATATTTTGGAACAGGAGGCATGCAAGGAACAAGTCGTTCAGCAGTTTGCTGATAGGTGCAAGAGTGTGAAATACTGCTCTTCAGATTAACTGAAGTGTTTCTGCTTATTTAACATCAAAATAGTATCTGAAAGTTTGCAAAAATGCAATTTATATAAATAGAAGCATATTTTCTAAGTGGTTAGTGCACAGATGGCTGCGTAAATATTTATAAGTGCATCTATCCAATTACATACCTACTATTCCTCCCTTGTTAGTAATAAAAGATGCTGAATTATTTTATTTTTTTAAAAAAATTGGGTTCAGATTCCATTCTTTCATGCTCTCCCAAATATTGTATAAAATAACAACGACATATTAGGCTTACCTGGCTGAGTCTTTCCTGGTCCCAGAGGGAGCCAATAATGAAAGCAACTAGTTGGCCTTCTTCAAACAAGCCAAGCGACAACTCAGGACATAGGTTCAGAAAATGGCGAATCTCATCCAGGTGGAGGGGGCAGTCTTCTGACACTGAAATAAAGGCTTGAGGGGAGAAGAAAGGGAGATGTTGAATTTTGTCCTGCTGATTACAATAAGATTAAACTTCCAGGAAACTAGGGAAATATTGGCCCTGCCCAAGAAAAAAAATGAATCTAGGTGAGAGGATGAATCTGACAAATTCTTGAGTCTTGCAAACTGAGATTTCAGTAATCCAATCTGGTTTCTTCTTATTACAAAGTTTTCTATGAGGAGATTTAACTGATGCCTTTCACTGCCGTGGTTTTTCTTTTATCAGCTATGCCAGCATTCAGTTATAGGCAGAGCTAGCAGCTAAGGATTCAAATGCATAAAGTCATACATTTGAGGGAACTGAATTAATCTTCAGCCTAATTACTATTCCTGAAATTATTATATTTCAAATGCAAATGTGCACCACATTTATGCTGGGGCATAGTCTAAATCACACCAATATTCAGGTTCAGCTGAAAATCCCAGACAATCTATGAAAAAAATCAGTTCCATCATATATGTCTCTGCCTGTCCGTCTCTAGGAAATACAGATTTGGGGGGGTGGGGGTGGGTGTTAAAATATGGAACATACATGGATTAATTATAGAGCTGCTGCCATCTGCAAAGATTAGAACTGGGAAAAGAAATGCTCTCTCTGTAGTTAGCCAGCAGAATTCTTCCCCTCTGCCTGATCCAATTGCAACATGTAGTTGAAGGAGATGCTGTTCTGTTCAGTTTCTGCTTACTGCTTAGAAAATAAGCAGTTTTATTTTTATCTTTTTGAATCCGATATTATTTAATTGTATCAATAAACCTTATACATAAGGCATGATGCAGTTTTTATTGGTGCACGATCAATATCATACTATGAAATTTTGACGAACATCTGAACATACAGTATTTTACTGTCACTAAGTCTTTCCAAAACTGGGTTTTTCTAACACTTCGGGTTAATTTTTAGAGTGGTATTTCCCTCCTCCCAATAATTCCCTATTTATTATAGTATTTTTCCTTTATTTGTTTTTAGGGGAGAGGAGTGCTTTCATATCTATTGACTCCTGGTGATTGCCTGGACGACTCCCTGCCATTTTCTTTGCAGCATTTTCAGAAGTGGGTTGCCATTTGAATTTGAATTCTTTATTGTCATTGTAGGTACATTACAGTATACATACCACGAAATTCACATAACACCCAGAGACCAGACTCAACATGCACATACACATGACAATCCCCAAACACCTCCCCAGCTGTCAAAATTCCATGCCTCCTAAAAACACACAAGCATCCACACAACAGACCGAGTAATACTGTCCAACAGCTCACTGATGATGGTCCTTCAGTTCATTGTTAAGTGCAATTATAGCTCTGGGATAAAAACTGTTCAGAAAACGTGTGGTCCAACCTTTAATTATTCCGTATCTTCTGCCAGAAGGCAACAGTTCACAAAGATTGTAAGCAGGATGGGAAGAGTCTCTGAGAATGTTGTGCAACTTCCTCAAACAGCAAGACGTGAAGATGTCGTCCAGGGCTGGTAGCTGGAGCCCGATGCTATTCTGGGCAGTTTTAATGATCCTCTGTACAGCGTTTTTGTCCGCTACAGAGCTGCTCCCATAGCCATACAAGAATGCCATATGTCAGGACACTCTCAATGGTGCTGCGGTAGTAGGACAGAAGTAGATGCTGAGATAGATTTATCTTCCTAAGCATTCACAGGAAGTACAGCCTCTTCTGTGCCTTCTACACAAGCATGTTAGCATTCATAGTCCATGAGAAGTCCTCTGAGATATAAGTGCCCAGAAATTTAAAACTACCAACCCTCTCCACCTCCTCGCCATTTATGTACAATGGTAAATGAACATCTCTCTTCCTCCTGAAGTCAATTATAAGTTATTTAGTTTTTTTGGTGTTAAGTGTAAGATTATTATCTTTACACCACAGTGTCAGCCCTTGTACTTCCTTTCTATAAGCAGACTCAATGTTCTTATTAATGAGCCCCACCGTCATGTCATCCGCAAATTTAATAATTGCATTGGTGTTATACAATGGGGTGCAGTCATGTGTTTACAAAGAATAAAGGAAGGGGCTTAGCACACAACCCTGGGGGGGTCCTTGTGCTTAGTATCAGAGTAGAAGAATGGTGAGATCCCATCCTTATTGACTGTGGCCTATCTGTCAGAAAATGTCATTGTTTGTTTTCCTAGAGCTGAGAGAGATTGACCCAAAGTCACCCAGCTGGTTTCTTTCCTTAACATAGAACTAGAACTCATCTCACCGTTTCTAATCTGGTGCCTTTCACCAATACACTAAACCAGTTCTCTTTTTGAATTTAGACATACTGTGTATTATTTTGTCTTCCTACTAGCTAGTTTGCTTTGCCTTCTCAGCATTTGGGAACATGGGAGATAATAATAATGTGCCATGTTTGATAGATGTACTTGGAGAAAAAGTGCAAGAAAGATGAAATTTTGTTTTTTAATTGCACTGGTTGCAGCTTATGATACTATACCATACTATTGCTTTCTTTGTTCTCTTCATATCACACATTCACTCACACCCCAACGTGTAACTATCTTAGTCAAAGCCCATTAATACAATACAGTTCTTCCATATCATGCACATGTCTTTCGTAAGACTAAACACCAGAAATAGACTTTACCTTCTCTCTCAATTTCAAACACTCCAATGGCATCTTCAGGTGTGAGACACCGGAATTCACTTGCAGGAAGAGTGTGTCGACGCTGGCTCCCAAGGGAGTTTTGTGAAGATCTGAGATAAGAGGATTTGAAAAATGGCAACGTACTGATCATAGACATCTTCTATGTATTCCTGCTTCTTCTGTAAGTGTTTCTTCTCTTCCTTTTGGGATAGCTATTTAATTCAATTGCTTCCAACACAATTAATCAGCAGATGAGAAGACCTGCAGAGATTGCAATGTTTTGTTGTTAGGAAACTGGCTGAACCCTAGCTTCTGATCCTTGCTATCATCCCCACTGTGGAACAGAATGTCTATCAAGTTCTTTATTCCTGTACAGCTCACAAGAGAAAAGCATATCCAATATTCAAATGCTAGGGCACAGTCTAAGGCAGAAGGTGGTGGTGGTAGGGGACCCAGAATGGGATACTGGACATCCTTTGTGGCTCTACTTAATTTGTAAATCAGATATTTTCAAGCAGGAAAGGAGGTTTAAGACCAAACTATTAGCTACCTCTAAACAAGTTAATTCTGCCTCTTCAAGAGAATGATCCAAACATTTAACCTTGCCTTCTTATAAGTCTTAGAACTAGACACACAGAGGTTTTAAAAATATGTATCACTAGCCTTATTTTTTTTATACAGCTGCAGCTTATTGTACATTTCATGATCTGTCTGCTTTCTGATCTATGAAATTATGTGGAGTAGAGGATGGAACATGTATAGTTCAGCTTCTCCGTTTTTCTCAAAGCTGCTTATATTTGTGGCCTGCAATAGAACACAGTAGATGGGCAGGCTGTGTTTATACAGTATCTGTTTCTTTTAACTTCCACAAAACATTTTTTCACAAACTGGGTAGCAGATTTAAGCTTTTTTTTTCTCAAACTTCAAGCATAAAGGTTCAGTGTGAATTTATTTTACTATTGACAACAGTATTTCCGAACTTTTAGAATTTCCAAAACTAACAATAAAGGATTTAAATTTAGCAATAATTTATAAGCAATCTGAGTGGATCGTCTTCTATGTATAACTATGTCAGTGAAATTCTTATCCAATTTACTGATCTATAGTAGGATCTGCTCGTCATATCTCTGGAGATTAATTACTAGGCAGCCCCTCTGCTCTGCCCCAACAAAGTAAAAAAATGTGCTACTGTGTGCAACATTCTTTACTTATGCAATATTCATAAGAAGGGAAAAAAGTAGAAGCACTGCTGCATATTACAGGGTAACATAATGCCTAACCAGTAGGCCTAAATATTTTTTTCTGTCCAAAGATAAGGGATTTGTTCAGGCTATCCTTTAATTTTTATATAATTATTTTTCAATTCAACATGTGCAATATCATATACATCAACCTTTCTCACTTATGATCATTTTCCAGAGATTCTTTGCATCTGTTGACATGTGTAAACTCTAAGATGAAATTCCACCTTGGAAAAATTTAACCAGGGGTAGGATTCTACCAGTTTGCACCTATTCGCTAGAACCGGTTGTTAACATTCTAAGCAGTTTGGAGAACCAGTTGTTAGAAGAAATTACTGGCCTAATCCTGTAAGGAAGGCAGGAAGAAACATTCTGGTGTTGCTTACAGAAACTGCCTCTCTGTTAACCCTTATTACATTCCTGGGAGGACTTCCTGTCTCAGGAATGTCTCTGGAGTTTTTTTCCCCTCCTTTGCTGGTACTTTGCTTGTGTGGAGTGACCATTCAAAGTTACAATAGCACTGAAAAAAGTGACTTATGACCATTTTTCACACTTACAACTGTTGCAGCATCCCCACAGTCATGAGAGGCCAGGCGAGAAGATGCGTGCTTTGATGTGAGTGATATTGAGTTGGCCACATCCAGACAATAACATGACCACCAAGCCATGTCCACCCAGTCACATGACCACCAAGCCACGCCTATCACCCAAGCCACGCCCACAGAACCAGTTGTTTAAAAAAGTGAATCCCACCCCTGAATTTAACTGTAAATTGTAGTTGCATGGAATTAGTAATTTTGTTTTATTGGGAAATGAAAGTTTATTTCATCCCATTAGGTCACAATTTGGTTTCCAGAAAAGTATTCATATTTTATTTTCTCCAAAGCAGACAGCATTAAAAATTATTCAGTATGACTTATTTATTAACCACTGTTCAAAGACATGTAGTTTAACTGTACCAATTGGTAGAGAAAATTCTTTTTGTTAATTATATAATTGTGGGAAACAAATTATCATGGACCAGAAAATAGGTTGTCTGTGACATTACTTGTCTGGTCTAGAAAAAACTATTGTTTAAACTCTTATCTACTTTTTGCTTTGGGCTTATGTAATATATATTAACTTATATAAGTTAACCTGACAATAAAGCATTTGAAGTCATTTAAATTATACTCTAATCCTGAATTCATTTTCTTAAAAGTACCCCTTTTTCAACATAACTTATTCTCTAAATTCTAAATAATTCTAAATCCTTGGAATCTTAGGATTTTAAGATTGAAATCCATGCAGTTAGCTATCATGTTTCTCTCCCAATAACTTTAATTTTCTTGAATACTGAATGTCCAATTACAAAAAATTATTGTGTGGTTACATGCAAGTGCTATGTAAAAAGAATATATTTATTTTTAACAGATTGGTGTTACAATTAAAATATGCATAATACCAGAATAAAAGTTATAAAATACTATTTTCTAGGTTTGTAATATAAGCAAGGGATAGCAATGAGGAATGAATCGTACCTTCATATTATTATATTTTTCTGCTCAAGAGGATCTGATTACTTAACATATTACAATATAACATATTGTAATGAACAGATACTATCTGCTATAGGAGAAACAGTTCAAATTAACTTCTGAATGAAACTTTTCTTGACCTTGGAAATCAACTTCATTAAATTAAATTGAATTGCAGTATCTTTCTTACCTGTGTGTTGAGTTTTCTTTCAGTAATCCAGAACGACACTCAGCAGAATTGCTGCTAGAGAGAAGGACAAAGAAGACTGCAGCAAATGTTAATGGGGTCCCAGCTTTTATTTTCCAGAGACTTAGGGAACTCCAGCTTATACATTTGTTTTTTTTTAGTAGCAACATGTGATGATTTTCTTAAAACATTTTAAACCCTCAGGAGACACACAATTGCAAAAGAGCTTTAAGGCGACATGTCAACAAAAAGACTGTAGGAGGCTTTACTTTCTTGGCATGATTTTCTCCCAAGGGATAAAGTGTTTTAGCTTATTACTAAGTACAAAAGGCATCTTACAAGCCACAGGTGAATTGCTAAGCAGGGCACATTGGCAGAGTACTGGTGGAACAAAAACACACTGCATACACTCTTCCTGGAAATATTCATTCTCAAAGGACATCCTGCTTGAAAGTGAATGTACTCAATCAATATTACTGTAAATATAATTGTCTTCCTGGAATTGCCTTTGATCCATTAATTGCAACAACTAAATTGTTCATTATTATCACATTAACAAATAGGTTAATAACATCTCTTCAAAATATTTTGCTTGGAGTATGAAATTGTACTCGTATGTATTTAAAAGGTTCAGTCATCTGTGATATATACACAGAATATAAACAAGCAGCAAGAAAAGTAAGGCTGAGATTAGACTGAGAATGGAGAGCATGAGAAACTAATTTCATGGTGTGGTGTGTGTATGCGGCGTGTGTGCGCATGTAATGATAGTCAGGTTTGTGAGTGCTCTATTGGCATCTTCTGAATGGCACAACTAATGCAACCAGCTTGCATTGTATATAAGAATATCTGCACGGAATGTGGGCTGGATCCTCTTAACTCCAGATGGAAGATCTTACATAGAAGATCATGTAGAATAAGAAAGCTAAGAACCTGTGCGACTTCCAGATCAGATAGACAAGCAGGTGCTAACCAAGCAACCAGGCATCGTGGTAGTAGACAAGGAATGGTGGTGATAGATACAGCAGTGCCAAGTGACAGCAAAGAAACAGTATGAGCTCTGGGGGAAGAGAAGTTAGGTGCAGTATTGCAGAAAAACTCTGCCCATAGCCTGGAGTTTGATCCTGATGGGGCTCAAGGTTGATCCAGCCTTCTATCCTTTCGAAGTCGATAAAATAAGGACCCAGATTGTTGGGGGCAATATGCTGACATTGTGAACCACCCAGAGAGTGCTGCAAAACATGGGCAGTATATAAGTCTAATTGCTATTGCTACGAGAACCTGGAGAAGTACCAGGGGCTGAAGTAGAAACTGGAAAGGATGTGGAAAGTAAAGCCAAGGTGGTCTCAGTGGTAGAAGCACCTGGGGCTGTGACTCCTAAGCCACGAGATCCCAGAAACAAACCAGAGCTCCAGAAGCCCTACTAGCTGAAGCAGCTACGTTCTGTCTCTCCTGATATTCCTGCTTTAGAAAACAACAATAATCCTTCCCAGAGCCTTCATTGCTCTGCCCTATCCACATACAGTATGGTTTCCATGATTAAAAACTTTCAACTTCAAAACAAGAAGTGTTAGGCAGAAAGGAGAAGGAACTACTGTAATATTCCTGTAATATATCAGAGCAACTCTGCCCATGCTATGGTCTTTGGAATGATGTTTCAGGGATCAGAGGACCATCACACTAGACAGTGAGATTTTTCTACATTAAATAGACTGTTCCACCCAAAACAGCCATGTTACCTATTTAAAAAAACTTGAAATATGAGTTGTATGAATTCAACAGGGATCACAAAATCTATCATTTGAGAATTAAAATTAGACATGATTTAACAAATCCTAATTCTAATACTCATAGTCTTGTGCAAAATGTGCATTCAAGTACATCATGAAAGCTATTAACTCATAATTGAAAGCTGTATTAAATATTCCATAATATTTTATCATCAATTATTTTTAATGCTCCTTTGGCAAGGATATAGTAGAAAACCATAACTGTCTTATAAAACCACATGCTGTTACTGATTCAAAATAACATCCCAGTGTGTAAAATTTGTGAAATATTAGATAGTCCTCTGTAATATTTTAATCTTAATGTGTATCATACATGGGTCTACAAGTTTATACTAGAAATAAAGGAAATTCAGGGGCTCTGGAGCTCCCACAATATAAAACAATATCTGCTTACAATTGTTTACAAATATAGGATTTCAGCCTAAGGGATTTAATGTTTGGAGACATTTGAATGGGAATACAACCCTAAAGATCAACAACACTAGCCCATGATACAATAATGACAATTGACAAATTGTCAAAAACAAATACTAGAGGTACTTAGAATATAATTGCTACATAAAGAAATCACTGGTCATCACAATGTTCTTATTACAACAGTAATGATTAATTAGCTATATTCTGGTTTAATGTTTGACAGCTGATTACACCCAAAACCAAAATTCTTGTGGAGGTTAATCAGATTAGTTAATTAGAAAAAAGGACTACACTGCAAAAAAAAAACACCCTCCAAAACTGGTTTGTTTTCCTTGCCACTTTCCATTTTATCACTCAACACACCAATGCAGGAATTTTATTGCCTGTGTGTGCTGGCAAAAAAGTGTTATTTCAAGTGATAAAGAGAGAAATGTCCAATGTCCAGAATGGGAATTTCTTTCAGACTTTGAATGTACCATTACAGTGGTTAACATATTTTATAAATAAATCTAAAAATACATATTAAAATTAACAGAGATTACGAGAAAATCTGAAACTTTTTTAGTTATTTATATTTGTAAATATCTTTTACCATTTAGAATGGCAAGAATTACACCAATTCTGGCAAATTTCAAATTAGTAAATTTTAAGCAATTGGTGTATTGCTCTAAGAGGGAGACATAACTACACAAAGCTCTGTTCCCAGTTTGCTGAGTACAAAGGTATTTTTAAAGGGATTTTTTAAATCATTTCTTTTTTACCAATTTATATGGTCATTCACTTGCCAGAGTGACTCCAGGCAGTTAGGAAAACATTAAAAATAATAAACAAAAACAAAAGCAGACAGGCATCTGTCCATAAACCCAACCATGCCATGTGGTTTTTAAAACTTGTATCCCACCCCAAATATCTGGAGACAAAACTCAGTTTTAATGTTTTGTGAAGAAAGGCCAGGCCAGAAAGGCCAGGCTAACTGAATCTTGGAGTTGTTGTGGTGGAAAGATCGTTCAATAAAAGTGAAGCTATCAAAGATCAAGTATGCTTCCTATATAAATGACCTCTGTGATCATATCAAGAGCAACTGTGTTCTCTTCGCTGATGATGTAAAGCTATCCAACACCATAGACAATACTGCTACCCTTCAAAAAGACCTTGACTATGTATCAGAATGGTCAAACAAATGGCAACTTCAAATCTCAACAAATAAATGCTCTGTCCTACATATTGGCAAAAAAATCAGAAAATAAAATACAAGCTGAATAGTCAAGACCTTGTTGATGATCCAAACTCTATCAAGGACCTTGGAGTACACATCTCTAATGACCTAAGTGCTAGAGCCCACTGTAACTACATAGCCAAAAAAGCATTAAGAGTTGTTAACCTAATCCTATGTAGCTTTTTCTCTGGTAATATCACACTACTAATTAGAGCATACAAAACATTTGCTAGACCAATACTTGAATACAGCTCATCAGTCTGGAACCCACATTATATATCTGATATTAACACAGTTGAGAAAGTCCAGAAGTATTTCACAGGAGTTCTCCACTCCTCTATTCATTGCAGAATACCTTATGCCACCAGACTCGAAATTCTAGACCTAGAAAACCTAGAACTACACTACCTTCAGTCTGATCTAAGTATAGTATATAAAATCATACATTGCAATGTCCTACCTGTCAATGAATACTTCAGCTTCAACCATTACAACACAAGAGCAAAAAATAGATACAAACTCAAGGTTAATCGCACCAAACTTGATTGCAGGAAATATGACTTCAGCAACAGAGTAGTCAATGTCTGGAATACTCTACCTGACTCTGTGGGTTCTTCCCGAAACCCCAAAAACTTTTAACATTAGACTGTCTACTATTGATCTCACCCCTTTCCTAAGAGGTCTGTAGGGGGCGTGCATAAGCGCACCAACATACCTATCATCCCTGTCCTATTGTTTCTTTTATTGTTTTATTTTTCTTATATGTATCCATGTATTCATAACTGTATGTTTTTACTTATACCTATTATCTTGTAAGCAATTGACAAAAATAAATAAATAAATAAATAAAAATAAACAATCAGGTGACACTGGTACAGAGAAGGGACTTGGAGTATGTCTAATCTAGAACAGCGTGTGGCATGGGATGATTTAACTGGAGATAGGCGGTCCCACAAATAATTATGCCTATGCCATGTAGGGCAGAGATGGGATCCGACTGGTATAACTACCGGTTCTGTCTATTAGCGTCACACATGCCTGCGCGAGTCACATGAGTCATGCAAGTGCAATTTACAACCTGCTGAGCTGCCCGGACAGCTGAGCAGCGTTGCGTGCAAGTGTGCAGCGGTTGGAAAAGCCCTTCTTTCCTGCTTTTTCAACTGCAGCTGTGTCGCGCAAAGTAGCAGCAGTTGAAAAAGCAGGAAATAAAGGTCAGGTAAGAGCCCGGCAGGCGGGTGGGCCACAACAGCAGCAGACATAGAACCGATTCTATGTCTGCTGCTCTTCGGAGCAACCGATTCTACAGAGGTAGACAGAACTGGTAGAAACCCACCCCTGATGTAGGGTTTTAATTTAATATGAAGATCTGAAAAGGCGTACTACCCAACTATTATCAGAAACCTTAAGATTTTTTAATCGTAATTTCAATAAGGTATGAATAATTTGAATAAGATTTGAGAGCCAGTTTGGTCCAGAGGTTAAGGTACCAGGCTAGAAAGCAGAAGACCATGAGTTCAAGTCCTGCCTTAGTCATGAAACTGGTGACTTTGGGCCAGTCATTCCCTCTCTCGGCCCAAACCTCTTCACAGGGTTGTTATTGTGGGGGAAATAAAAGGAGAAAAACATATTAG